CCCCAAAACCCCAAAACCCCAAAACCCCATGAGTCTATAATTGTAAGAATAGAATAGTTGAGTAATTTATAATAAAAAGAATAAATAATGGTACAAAAAAAGAGAGTTGTAAAAGCCCAATAAAAAACTAATTCTGCCTAAAAGAAAAAGGCCTCTAAAGATGAAGAACCATCCTTTGATAATATGAATTAAGTTAAAAACGAAGATTCCAAGTCTGAAGACAGTCTATCAGCAGTTGGTGAAGATGAGGACTAGCACATGAATGAGATGCTCAATAAATATGGATTCAGGCATTTTGTAGAACTCGACATGACACTTCCTTCTGCCGAAAGAGAAATAATCAAAGATTACTAGATGAGCTTCATTGATCGTAATTACCAGGCAAAGGCTAATTTAGAATTGGGAGTAGGTGATTCAAAGGGCGAGAATATGATCAATAATCCCGCTTTTCCCAAGCCCAAAGACTTGTATGACTCCAATTCTGACTATGAGTGCACTCTTTCAGATGTAATTATTTATTTGAAAAAATGCGGGTATCCATTAGAAAATTGCTTTGTATCCTTCCACTCTCCGATTTTCACTGCTTACATTAATTGCGGACTTGATCCTTTACCAAGTTCAATTAAGATAACCAAGGAAGATTTGACATAAGTTCAGTAACTTGATCACGAAGATACTTTCAAATTAATCCTTAAATTCTAATGGGGTATTAGATCTGAATATAAAAATGATGATGAAGGTGCTCCCATTTAGGAATCTGTGAAAGAAGAAGTTATGACACAATCTGGTAGAACTTAGAGAAGAGTATCCACTCTAACCCAGTAGTCACAGCATGATAAAGAGCATAAACGTACAAAGGAGAGAACTATAGGTTATATTATAGAAAAAGTCTCACAGTGGAGAAAATTGTACAATGGTTATATGGATGAGAATCATCAACTTAGAAGAATGAGTTTAGAAGATGCAGCAGCTAAAGTTCAGGTGAGTAAGAAGAGTCTTGATGATTATCTTTCTCAACTAAGACAAGGAAGAGCTCTGGGATTCAACTTTAATGAGCATAAGGATGAAAAAGTAGGCTACTTGAGACAATTTGTAAAAGAAAATTCTATGAAAAACTAAAAGTCAAACAGTAAAAAGAGTTCGTATCATGAGGGAATAGCCCAAGCATAGTCTTAATTGGAGTTGTCCCGGAAATCATCAAAGAAATAGGGAAGAAAATGATTCCATTGTTTAATTTTATATCATATTTATGAAAACTTAATCCTTTAATACTCTTTGTATGATGGGGTTTTGGGGTTTTGGGGAGATCGGAAGAGCGTCGTGTAGG